CGTCGCAGGATATTATATCAGCAGCCTTGGCCGACGTGAGTAACGGAACAAGGGAACAATAGATCCAAGCAGCGTTCCTCGGGGGTCGTCGGCGCGTGGACTGCACCTTTGTACGAAGATGTGCGACAGTGCATTTTGCGAGTGTACTCGAGTCTAATCTGTTTCGGGCTTTTTATGGTGGACCCTTGGTCCGCTGGTGGCGATGTCGCGCAGGGGCGTTCGACCCCGGTGGCCACATCGAATCCATCGGCTGCTGCCTTGTCGACGCTACGCAGAACCGAGCGTGCACCAAGCATACGTGAATATGTATCTGCATGGAGAACCTCGCCCCGTTTGGCGCTGGTGGTAGACGTGTGGTGGCTTCCGCAGTGCAACGCAAACAACGCAGCGAGGGGAGAGCCATCTCCCAGGAAGCAGGCAGTTGTATTGCATTACGCCACGAAGGCAGATTGGGAACTGAGACTAATGGAGGCCAGCGTTGTGGATAGAACGATAGGCTGTGCCGGATGAGACCTTCGTCAAGAGGCTCTATGATGGGTCACTACCGTATAGGGTCGCTACCGGACATCATCCGTATATGGCACCTAAGCACTATCCTCTCTACACCATGCACACAAGCTACCAAGACTCTAGGCTACTCGCTTCCTGGAGTCATAACTCTCCAGCGATACACGCTTGCATCGGCCTGGCATGGCTTGACCGAACCAGTCACAACAGACGATAGTGATCACCGGAGCCCGCGCGCTATTGAGAAGTCATGCTCGAAGCGAGGTGCAAACTCGGTGGCGTCACTGGCAAGCTGATGAGAATCTATGTAATCGATCGAGTGTTCGTAAAAAGAAACAAAGAAAAATGGACCTAATTGTCTACAAACATGGACACAAACTTCGGATCGTGAAAATCTGTCGTTACTGTGCTACTAACTAACGTTGTGCTTGGTTCCATGGGCAACAGGGTCAGACGCTTTGACGCTCCACATCACATGAGACAGAATCCCATGAGAGGCAAGATCGACAAGTGGACATGAGAAGCTTGTATTAGATATCGGTGTGGTAACTTCGAGAAGACTCTTCGCACGGTGTCCTGACAAAAATGGCCAGTCGCTTTTTCAACTGCGTGTTACCGCGTCGCTTGCGGCGAATGATGAGTGTACCCACGGAGGCCACAACGGCGAACGCCACGAGGGCCACTGCAAGCACTATGGACGGGCCATACGACGACGACCCGTCGATGCTGTACTTGGTGCACCGGGGTCCGGTCCACGCCGTCACGCACGAGCAGCGCCGGTTGACGCAGCTGCCTGTCGAGCTTGTAACGACCGTGCAGTCGTCATCACTCTTGCACATGGCGCCACCGGCGACCGCAATGTCGGGATTGAGCGGGTCCGTGTAGTTGGCGATGTGCGCTTTGATAAACTCTTTGGTGGGATGCGTCGGGGGATCACAGCCGTAGCTCATCGTGGTTGTGTCTTGCCTGCACATCGCGGATGATAAGCTCCACATCGATAGGTGGAGGCGTGTACCAGACGCGGATGTAGTCGATGTACATGTACATCGGGAACGAGTCACAAACGTTGCTGGAGATCTTTGCGTCGTCCGAACCCGGTGTCGGCATCGTCGCATTGCCGCGGCACGGACCAACCTGCCAGTTGGGCGGTGTCGCACCTAATCCATCAACGATCTGTCAGGTATTTGCTCAGCTACATGGAAATTCCGTACCCCACGCCGACGACATGGCCACGTTGAAGATAAAGTAGCTCGGCTCTTCGATCATGATCTTCTTGGGGTTGTACGACGCCCCACTGTCCGTGCCTTGCGGCGGGTCGGTCATCGTCGACGCCGGGATCTCGAAAATCGGAGCGCCGTCGAGCGTCCAGCGCACATACCCGTCGTTGCCCATAACCCTAATCACCAAGATGAGTCACATTGCACTTTGCAGTTTGGACTGTCGCGTCGTACCACTCGAGCTGGTACTTGTAGAAGGTCGTGTACGCTTCGTAGCTCACGTCCCAATTGGCCGAAATCGCGTCCATTTGGTACTCGAACGGCTCCATCATCTTGGTCAGGGCTTGTGCGTTTGTGCGTGGCTGCTCGCACTTCGGGTTTTGACTGTCGCGGTCGCAGAGGAACCCGCCCATATACCCATTTGCGATCGGGAAGCACGTGCCGTTGTAGTTGATACCCCAGTGGTACTGGCCTTTTCCGTCAATAAGGCTGAGGTCGGCGTGACGGTCACGGCCGGAGCTGATCGTCTTGATGTCGAATTGGTTGTCGACAAGGACTGCATTTTGGGCCGCGGCCACCGACGCGTACTGCTGGACTTTGGTCGAATCGGGCGTACACCGGTTGTTGGCCGCATATCGAAGGCCTTGGTACCACGACTTGTGGCCGCGGGACGCGAATGCCGACGTCGGGACGTCCGCCATGTTGGCGCCAAGCGTCAAGCACTGCTTTTCGTAAAAGCAAAAGAGATGACCGACACCGTGTCGTCCTACACAGGAGCTCGATGTCAGCTTATGTGCATGACGAGGACGTCGCACCTTGTGCATCCACGTTGGACGTGTTCTCGTACTTGAGAAGAGGCGGCATAGGCCGGTAGTCGTCCGGCATACCCGGTGCAATCTGAACCGACGACGAGATCGCCGTGCCGCCGCCTTCGAGGATGTCAATCTCGGGCGCGCCGCGACCTTGGCCGGGGTTGAGGCCAAAGCCCGGGCTCTTGTTGCACGCCGAGATGCGCTGGTTCTTGCGCGACAGCTCCGTGCACTCGTTGTACGTCCACGGCCACATCTTGTTGGTCGAGGCCGAAAAAAGCGCGCGCCCGAGGTTGCCCATCATCCACAGACCTGGCCACGTCGGGTAGAAGCGGACGTCTGGGATCGGGTCGAGCGTCTTGACTGGCTTCGTGCCTTGTGATGTCGTCCGCTGGCCTGTAACGTGCGGGTTCATGGACCCTTTGTTCAAAGCGCCTGGCAGCTTGGCGGCGACTTCGACAAAGCCGCCTTGGATGCAAAATTTATTCCACGTCTGCATCATCGCCGCCGCGTAGTACTAGAGGTATCGGAAGGTGAATGCATATCGCACGGGTGACGAGGCCACGTACCATCTTCTTGCCGGTCCAGCCCGGCACGTTGGCCCACACGTTGTAGTACGAGATATCAATCTCCTTCGAGTCGACGCGAATCGAACAGAGACCGTCCTTGGTGTTGGCGTTCTCGGGCTTGTACACCTCGATCGCGCGGTTGACGCCGTCCGGAATGTCGAGCGCCATCCAGAGATGGTCGTGGCCGGCGCTAAAGTTGCGACCCGCGAGCTCAAACTCGTCGCTCATGACGAGGGCCCACGTGTCGCCGCGGGAGGTCACCTTGGTGTAGACCTCCTTGGGCGTGTCGAC